TAAATAAGAAACGAAAAGATGTCAATTCAAGTTTAGTCTTAGATTTACAAGGCTTAACTATTTTTACTGCCTTATACATATTATTTTTCTGTTTCCACTAATGCTTTTACAGTTTTCCATTTTTATCAAATTCTAGCAAAAATTAAATAAAAAGATTAAAGACCATTTGAAATTTAAAATTCCAAACATTAACTTGAGAAAGTATCTCTTCGCTCCTTAGCATTTGCATTTTAAAATCTTTTGCTAGCTATTACATAAAAATGCCATTTAAAATTATCAAATCAGTTAGTTAGCGGCATTTAAGTCAATTTATGATTAAATATCGGATTATTTTCTTAAAAATAAAGAAATTATTTCACACTGTATGAGTTTTTGAAATTGCTCAAAATATTGGAACAGATGAAATGCATCTCATACCAGTTGAATTATTGATCGTTAATTTTTTATGTTTTAATTTCTATATTTTTTCAATTACAAATTTGTAAAAATTTTTTAAAAAGACAAAGAAACAAGGAACAAAATTACTTCCTTCTCAATAGAAAAAATATATTGTAATGATTCACTTGGCTACGTTTAAGTATGCAAAAATATGTGTGTGCATGTGAGTGTATGTCGACGTGTCTGCACACGTCTATTCTATATATTATATTACTTAACTAAGATATATGTATATATATACATATATGATGTGTTATATTGCAATTAACACACTTCTAACTAATTTCCCATTAGGTATTTTCGCCGAAATACCTGCAAGCAAGTGGGTGGCAATAAAGGTGTATACTCAATGCATATGTTTTATACTAATGGAACTAAAAATAAAAATGTCAAATATTAAACAGCTAAAAGTTTGTTGTAAAGTCAATACTTTATGGCAATTTTAAAAACAAGTAAAAAAGTAGAGAAAAAAGAATTGCCAGTGTTCCACACATTCGCAATGCTTCAGTGTTAATTGAAATGTTGAATAGAAGAATACTAATTGCTATTTTCGCTATTCATTGAATATTACAACAAAGCGAGAATACATCAACAGAACGATCTTACTTAACTTATCTCTTTCTCAACTCTAATAAGATGAAATTAATAGAAAGACTTCTTCCTATTTCTATTTTTGTTAAATTTTTATTACTTAGGATTGAATTTTGAAATAATTAGAAAAAACGCTTGTGGATTTCACTGCTTGGAGAAACTCAAAAATCAATATTTTCAATTTTTTTTAGTGTGTAAATTTTAGTTTTGATGTGTTTTAAAATGAGGCAAATACATCAAATATTACAATATTTTGTGATCTGAAAAATAGTTTTACCAAAAAGGTTAGGTTCAACTCAGTCCTGAATAAACCTGTCATTGAGGATACTTGTTGCATGCCGAATGTGCTAAAAAGCTAATGTTGCTTAGCTTAGCAAGATTCAAATTATATGTACAATTATTGCCAATCTATAACTGGACATATGTTGAAAAATATTCTTATCAGCTGAATCACTTCCCGAGAGATAACAGAAGAAATTCATGACAGGTCTATAAAACTTTCCAGTTTATATTATATAGGCTTGAAAAACATGGAAAAAATATTGAGAGAAAATGAATCGAAAAAAGAAACCAAAGTATAGAAAGGATTACCAAACTGAATCTGAAACAACCATTTTGTTTGACAATTATTCGTGCTAACATGCAACGATTATCCAATCATAAAAGCAGAAAAGATTTGCAAATAATTTTAAAATTTTCAAATTTTTTCAATTTTTTCTATACATTTATCAATTCTGATATTACGAAATTGCAACAGTAAGTTCCAGTTTTTAATTGTTCTACAACATATTTCATCATCCCTTTTTTTCAGCAGCAGCATTTTTGCAACAATGCAAACAACTTCTCTCAAAATTATTCCACCGGGTCCAACTTATCTTTCTTGATTATCTATTATACTTCACATTACAACTAGCAGTACCATTATCATCACCATCATCATCATCATCATCATCATCATCATCATCATCATCATCATCATCACTCGTATTACAATCATCCACGTGATCACTTTCATCAATGCATGAATAACGATTCAGACAGATGCATGACGAAAACGACATTTTACAAGGAGTCATAAACGATAGGAGCAGGAAAGTGAGAAATGTGAAAGCATAATAAGCCAAGCAAGTAAGTCGTTTATGTACCGATTATGCAACATTCACTGCTAATTATTCAATGCAACAATTCGCTATTGGATATTTGACCCGAAAGTAATACGATAATACTTCTATCTAAAAATAATACAATTACTTTTAGACAAAAGATTGTAAGTGACATCTTATACTGATGAATGGATATGATATAAATGCGGGTAAAGGTGAAGGTGAAAAAAATAGTGTGGGTAAAAATATAGGAGAGGAATAAAGGATAAGTGCGGGTTTAGCGTCAACTACGAGATTTGAATAAGCAAATAATTAAGAGAATGAAGTAGATCGGGTGAATTTATTGGATGAATAGAGTCAGATAGAATTGCTTAAATTTATTCAAAAAAGGGCTAAAAAGCAATCTATACAAGCACGCTAATTGATTGCAATCCAATGACTTTTGTATGAATTAGACAAAATTGATGACTAATATGAATTTTGTTCACATTTTATTTATTATTCTTAATATTTCCAATATATACAAATGTATATTTTTTCATTCATATGCACACTGCTATATATTTCCGATGCGTGTAGGATGAATAAGAGATATTTTTTAAAAAAAGTTTGGAAATCAACAAATCAATAAAAAATAAACATAATTTGAACAAATTCAAAATAATAATCTGATTGTGGATTTTCGTACTATTTTTCTTTTCGACTGTAATTATGATTATGTTTTACGATGATAAACCGAATAAATTAACCAATCAAAAAGAACTGTTTAAATTATTCTGTTAGAATTAATGATCTCAACTTTCCAATTTTTGCCAGATATCGAAATAATATCATTTAAAAATGTTGGAAATTTCCCAGAATAATGTTTTTTTTTTTTTGATTCAATTTTATTCTTTCGATTGATCACACCCTATTTAACTTGTTTCCACGAATAATTATACTTTTTCCATTCCCCATTATTTGTGAGGATAAAAAAGTGGGGGAAAAAATAATATTGGAACAAATGAAAATTTAAAACATGATTAGACGAATATTGAGAACAAATTATTATACGAAAAATTATATAGTTAAAATTTAAGATTATATCACATGTCATCGATTATAAATTATAATGTTCAAATAGTTTCAGTTGAAAGACAGGATTATAAACATCACGATTCAACTAATTTCAAATGAAGGATTAAAACAATAAATTAATTATAACATTGGAAAATTTAAGACATATTGTATATTCTACAATTACAAATTAGTAATGTGGAAAAGATTTCTAAAATTTGTACTATTTTTTTCTAAAATTTGTATTCTATTACAGTGATAAATAAAAGCTGCCTTGAACGATGGATAATCAACTGAAAATCGGCACTGAAAAATTTTTTCAAAACTTATTTTCAGTTGATTATCCATTGTTTAAGGCAGCTTTCATTTGTATGAAACGATAAAAAAATTTTCATTTCATAATAAGAGATTAATTGGTTGAAGCAAATTCTTATAAATTTTAAACTAACTCATAGCAAATAACATTTTTTTACATAGTCATCTCTACCAATTAATTATTCCATTCCATTAAAAAAAAAATCTTTTCCAACTGCTGATATCAATTACGGCTTGATGAATATTGATTTATTATTAAACACGACAGATTAAGTTGTAGATTAATCAGTTTTTAAAAGTTGAAATTTCAAATTCCAAAAGATAAGATGATTCCGGAGTTTACCAAAAAATTAAAAAGAACAGCTAAATTTCTCTCTTTGCTTTTTTAAATCTAAGTGCAATTCACTTTGAGCAAAAAATTTATATGTAAATTAAAATCTTCAGTGGCATCAAAATTAAATTATTACTTAAAACAAATTATATGCATTAAAATAACATGTGGGATGTTAATTAAAAACCTGTTCTAAAAACTAGAAATAGACTTACATATTTCCTATCAGAAATTAACATCGACAAATTCTGCAAAGACAGAGATACTATAAAAATGATGGTTTCAAGTACACTTCATCAGGAAATTGAATGAAAACATTTAGATTGCTATTGATAACAATAATTAAAAATCATAAATGAATTTGATATCATTTGTAAAAAATTTCAGTGCGAAGATATTTCCATCTTCTTATAATTAATTAATACTTAACACATTTTACAAAATTGCAATGTTAAAGTAAAATGATATATTTTTATTGATTAGAAATTTAGTAAGTCAATTTGCAGTTCTTCATTAAGTTATAACTTTAGTCAGCAAATTATTATTTTTCTGCACTATTTTTCAGGCACTATTTTTTACTATTTTTAGGCAACTACTTTTTGCATTTTTTTTGAAATTTCAAATATAGATTTCGAAAAATACCAGAAAAAAGATTAATTAATTCAAAATGATCAATTAATTATGAATGCATATGATATTGTTAGTTTCATAGCTTCCTCAAAAATAGCACCTGTTCTAATACCCATGAACACTTTGAGGATTTGTATTGAATACTATAAAATTGAATTTAAGTGTAATTATTAAAATCCTTATTTAATTAATTCCTTGAAAGCATACCAATCGAGATGGGACCTTTCTTAGCAAGCCACGCTGCAATTTTACGCTCATCACCTGGTAGTTGCAGAGAATCGTTAATGTAAACCACAATATCTTTCCGTACCAAATGACATTTTTCACCGCGACCATCATAAGGGTAATCTTTTTCTGATTCTAATCCACCCATTCTCATTATTTCCCTGTAATGAGCTTACTTTTCTTCATCCTTTACCAGGAAAATTGAATTAGAATTAGAAAGACAAATGAAATTCAACCAGTACTAATCCCATTTTTAATTTTTCAAATTTATATACATAGTAAGAAGATTTAAAATATCATAAATTGAAGAGATTAACAATCATACTTGTAGGCATTCAGTGGAAGACCTCCGCTGCATCCTTGGTCAATAACATCACAATCGACTAATTCTTGCTCTGATAAAGATATCAATTTACCCTTTTCAATTGCCCAGGCACCTTCGATATTCCCTGTTACCGAAAATGCCCAACAACTACCACAAAAACCTAAAAAAAGATTGAAGAATGCAAATAAAATTAACTCCTTAAAGGAATACTTATTTTTAATCGCATACCATCATTACTACTAATCACCAAATTCTATTGATTCATAAATAAATGAATTTTGGTTATTAACCTAAAACAACGATCTCTTTGAAATGCATACATCTTATGTTTTATTTTATCTCAACAAGCTATGATTTTTCCTTTCTTCCTTTCTTCCAAAAACCTTTTTTCTGTTTTTCTGATATTTTATTTCTGTTTTTTAGCAAGATGAACACTCAGAAGCAAAACGACCTTAGTGCTCTCACTCTATTTCATTAACTATTTCCATTTCACCCTACTAATCACTCCGTTTTATTAACTGACCCTGATTTTTCACTTCCGTTACCGCACCTCGATCACGCCAATCAAACGATTCAGGTATTTCATCATTATCGATGTCATATTTTGCTAAATCTAACAAATGCTTCTTATTTTTATCCAACGGCCATAAGTACGGTAGCATAACCTGATAAAATATGTTATTTCATTATGGATAACGCCAATTAATACATTTAATATTTATATTATAAATCTATATAATCATTTTTGCGTATTAAAATTCATGGAAGACATTTTAAATTCATAAAAGAATTTTTCTTTTTAAATTCATAAAAGAAAGAAAAACAGAAAAAAAAAACCTTTCTGAATTCTTCATGGGTCATATCACTGTAAGGTGTTTCACCATAAACTGCTGTACCTTGTTCATTCTTTTGCCATAATTTTGCTAAGCGCAAATTTCGCTTATAAATTCGAAATCTCTTCAACAACTCTTTTTTGTTGGGATATTTACGATTGTGCCTAAAAAGCAAAAGAATAAACATTTTCTTTATTTGAAAATATACATACCAGAAAGATTGTAAAGAGTTCCTTTAGAATATGCTTTTTATTCGGGAAATCTTACGTAAGGTCTTAATCATGCTTTGAAATTTCAAATTCACTAACACAGATAAATGGCAGCTTTGGAATTATCCTTCTATTTAAAAACTTATGTAAACCACAGAAATACTACGAATTTTCACTACTATATTTTTCTAGGAATGATAAAACCTCACTCTTGGACGAAGTTTCCAAACAAATTCCATAAAGTAAAGTCTTTTTCCATGATAGTCTTTGTTGGTCTGTAATATCGATTGTCAACTTTAATGCCTAATTTGTCCATGTTATTGCGAAGTCGATGTCCTTCGGTAACAATTTTTGGCCTAAAATTTATTTCAAGTTTTTAAATTATTCTATAAATTTTTTTGCCATGGTAAAAAACTACTTTCTAAATCAATTTTGTATTGAATAACAGAACTAACCGATTTGGTGACTGCAAGGTTACCTGAGTGTTAATCTTATGTAAATTTCATTCATCAAAGTTTCAAATTTGTTCTCTTTTCCAGAAGATAAAGATATAGTTCTTTCTTCCTTCGCTATTTAAGAGCTGTCATTTCTAATATGAAAAAAAACTTTTAGAAAATTTAGAAATTTTCGAACTAAAAGCCGCAAAAGCATACTCTATTTGACGTTCGGAATTGGCCAAATGTTCCGTATCACATCCAATATTTGTTATTTCTTCAATATTTTCCCATCCCCTTTGATGTATTTCAAATCTGCAAACCTGAAAAAAAGAAAAATTGAATGTTTTGAAAAATTATAAAAATATAAACACTTTCTCTCCTGTCTGAAAAAATCCCAAAATCCCCATGAGAATTCTTAAAGTTAAAAAATTGAAGCTAAAATGAGATATACATGTCACTTATACTAATTGAATAGAGACAGAAAACTTTGTTTTCATATTTATACTTGTTGTACTACGATGGGAACAGATTTTGCACATTCGCTTAACCACCAGAATAATCAGACAATTGGTATCGGACATCTTGTCCAGTACCAATCCCTGTCAAGTCTGATTTCTTTTAGAAAATTTAGAAATTTTCGAACTAAAAGCCGTATAAGCATACTCTATTTGACACTTACCGCGTTATTTGCATATAATAACAAAGAAAATATGCAAGTTGAACACTTACTTGCTGTTCATAACTTGCAGTTTTCTTGCAACCCACAGTTCGTATATCATTATGAGAAACCGACTAAAATTTCAATTTTTTTCTCGTGAACGATAACAAAATTATTTTAAGAAATGACAATTTAAAAAAGAAAATTGACAAAGCTATTAAGAATTTACGTAAAAACTAGTTCAAAAATATTTCTACAATCCTTTCAGAGAATAAAATAATTTTATAAAGATAAATCCTTTTGTCTTCTTTTACTCTTATGCTAAAAATACTCAAACATTTTGAATTAATAAGTAATTGTGACGAAATCTTACATCTCATATTTTTTAATGCAACAATTCCTTTTACAAAACTAAATTTAATTTTTCTCATACAATAGTATTGATGAAAAGGAAGCAAAATAGCTTTTGAAAGAGAAAAAAACAGAAGAAAGAAATATAAAAATTTGCTAACATTTTTGGTACAATTCGATCGTGCGATAAGAACATCAAGGACATATTTGATGCCAGCTACTACTTCTGAAGTTATACGTAAGACCTTCACGGGCACCCAGTAATATGCGTCATTTGACGCTCGATTCATTTCCACTGCAGCACGCCATGACATATCCTATGCAGAAAGAGATGAGAAAGAAATAAATTTTCATTTCAATACCTTTACTTGAATGGAATCAAATCAGTGCGAATAGATATTGTAGTGATGAAAAGTATTCTGCTGTTATGACATGCACTGTGTATCACGCAGTATCACGTACTGCACTTGCAAAAAATGTTCGTAAAGTTTTTAAAAACTGATGCATATCAAATAACATACTGCAACGGTGGGATTCTTGATTAAGAAAGCAGCAGGTGAACAGCAGCACCAAATAAAATTATTTTATTTAATTCTTTAACGAAAATATTAGGGATTGAAGGTTAGAAGTTCATGAAATATTTCATGTTTAAATGAATTATATGAAAAATATCCCTTGGCTTACTGATACTTCTTCAAAAATACATCTGTTCATTTTCCAGCTAAAAATTCCATATCAAATAGAAGTAAAAGGAAAAGTACCTCAAATTGCGCGCTATCAATTTGTTCCACATCACGTTTGCCATCAGTCAAGAATGATTCCCGAATATCTTTCACCTGCTCAACCGGTATTCCTTGATTACTATCAGTATTGAGTTGTTCGGTATTGCGTATAATGCTGCTTGATAATGCCACGATATTTGCCAAAGCTATTGTTCGAATCAATAACATTTGCAGCCTTAATAATTCTAAAATTAATTTTTTTTTTGATTCGTTTTGAAGGAATACATTTGCAATTTTTTGAAAGAACATTACAATATATTGAAGATAGATTGCGCTATAAAACTGCTTATATTTCAAAAGAATATAAAAATAAGAAATTTAGAATCAATTCTTCAAAAAATTATCAGTATTAATTAAATCAATCATCTCCCTTTTTTGCTTTATTTAAAGCGTTATTCAAAATAAAATCTAAAATGGATAAATTTTTAAATGATTTTAAAATGAATAAAAAGGTTTTTTTAAAAATTGATGGGCAAATCAAAAGTAATAAATTATATGTATAGTAGGAGAAAAAAATACTCCAAACACTTTTTTAAAAAAGAAAAAAAACGATGCCATATTGAATCAATCAGGTAATAATACAGGGAAAAAATGATTAGAAATTGGAAAATCAAAGAATAATTACAGAAAGTGAATTATTGACGTAAATTGTTAAATAAGAAACGGAATTATAAATTAGACAAATAAATTAATAATTGCATAAAGTGAAAAAAAAGAGATTTTGCTTGTGATTTATCCACCTTAGATCCTATTTTGAGTAATGTTTAAATAAAGCAAAAAAAAGTGAAAATGATCCAATTAACACAGATAATTAATTAGAATTTGCTGACGACCTGTTGTGTGATTATTAAGTATGAATAGCATAATAGTGATATTTTGAAAATGTGTATAAGAAAGTGGAAAAGGAATAGATTTTTTATTAAAATGAAGAATAGTAAACTTATTTAAAAGGTGCTTTTTCATTCATTAAGTCTTAATTAATTGCTGACGTCGGCTAACGGAAGAAATGGAAAGGAAGGAAGGAAAGGAAGAGTATGACAGTAAAGTGGATAGATTATATAAAAATGAAATTAGAAGTTCTAAAACTAGATGGAGAGGACGGAGAGATTATAATTAGAATTATTGAAATTGAGGTTAAGGACAAATTAATTAGTTAATCTTATTTTATTAAGATTCGGTTACATTTCAGTTTTCAAAACAGCTCAATTTAATTAAAAAAGGAATGAATGAGATAATTTGGTATGAAATGAAATGATTCAGAAATGTGGCCGAGTATGTTGATGCGCTTTTTTGATTGTAGTAAAGAGGAGAGAGGATGGAGAAGAGGGAAAAGAGAGGGGAGAGAAGGGAAAAGAGAGGGATAGAGAAAGGGAAAGAATGGTAAAACCTGGGTTGGAAACCTGTTCACAGAGTTCAAAGGTGACAGAAAATATCGTTGCACATCGATAAGTGATGACATTTTCTGCTTCTTCATGTGAAATCTCTGGGAATTCCCATTAATCCTTATCAAATTATAATTTTCATATATTTTAATTTTTAAAAGTTCATTACTGTGTTAATTCAGCATCCAAATTAAATTTTGCTAAGTAATACATCTTTCTTTTATTCTTTTTTTTATATGCTACAAAATAAATATCTGTAAATATTTCTTTGCACTGAGTTTGTTTGTCTCAACTAAATAAAGGAAACATTAATTTGATTTCAAATTTTGCCAAACTTTGGCAGGCAAGAAGAAAATAAATAAATGAAACTATGTCAATTACATTTAAAACCCATTTTCTGAAAACTGATTTTACGTTTCAATATGCTTTTATTCCAAAGTCACAAAGGTCATCAGTAAGTGTGTTCAAATGAAGGGTTTTCATTTTAGATTGGAAAGATATAATTTAAAATTTGGATAAAAAGGAATAAACTTCGAAAAAAGAACTGTTTCAAGGTAGAAGGTCAAATTATCTCAGAAAGATCGTTCGTTTTTTCAAACGGATAATAGGAAGAAAGAGAGAGAAGGAGGAAAAGAGAAGGAATGAGGGAGCACAAGAAAAGGAATACAATTGCTTCAATTTAGCATATTAAGAGAATTAGGGGAAAAGGTAGATATTAAATAATGCTTCACTTTTAGTAAATGAAAGGGAATGGGGTGGAGAGAGAGGGAAAAGAGAGAGAGAGAGGGATGGAAAAAGAATTATTGAACAATTAGCGCATGCGCATTTTGTCCTCTCTTCTGACATGTTCCTATTTCTCGAAAGTATTTCCGGTTGTAAACTTGATTTCACACAATGAAAAACAAAGGAAAAGAAGCAATTATGGATGAAATATTACTAACACTCGGACGGTTCGGATTTTCATTGAGAAAATGCAAATGTTGAAATTCGAATTGATTACGAATGTGATTTGATATGGCTGATCGAGTCAAACCAAAAGGAAGTTGATCATTCAAACGAAATTAAATAAAACTGATAAAATTAGAGGAATTAATGAAACGTGACTGAAGTAAACTGGACTAACCTAAGGCTGAAATATCAACTGTCTTCTACAGTTTCATACAGTGATAATTGGAGGAGCATTATTGTACTTTCAGACATTTTCAAAAGGATTTTAGCATTGATCATTGCTCTCTAATCTCTAATTTTTATCTCATTCTGCTCCTTCGTTACGCTGTCATTTAACTGAATTGTTAAGTTAGAATGGAATGAAACAAATTAACACTAAATTTCATCAATTGATTAATTATTTCGGCAATCATGGACTAATTAAAGGAATGCAAATTATGGACAATTATTGATGAAATTACACCGTACGAATGAAAAATATTAATTGAAAAAAGAAAACTGTACTGAAAATTGAAAATGAAAAATAAAAGTTGGAAGGGAAAGAGTAAAAGGAAAGCATAGAATGAACAAGCAGCAGCAGCAGCAGCAGCAGCAGCAGCAGCAGCAGCAGCAGCAGCAACAGCAGCAGCAGCAACAACAACAACAACAATCAATCCGTAGCAGTAAAATAAAGTGAGGTTGTAAGGAGGAAAGGAAGGAGGAGGATGATTGATGAATGAAGGAGGAGGAAGAGGAGGAATGAAGGAGGAGGGAGAGAGTTAATAAAGAGAAGGACCCGGCAGATATCATCGCACCATCACTGACTCGCAGTTTATCACTCCATCAAACTCTGATCCTTCTATAAGTGAGCTGCCAGTTAGCATATTTCAGTCTCACACTGACCTTCATGGTGACATTTAATTATTTAGCTAAATGACAATTAGCATTAATCTCTTCCATTTCTGTATGACATTCCATATCCCTTTATGTTTATATTTTATTAATAACTAATTGCAAAATGCTTCATTAACGAAATTTAAATTTAAAATTTGAGCTATATATACAGTTTGTCAATTATTCCATTAAAATATATATTATTATTATTTGTTAGAAAAGGCAATAAAATGTTTTGGAAAATATTGAGAATATTTATTTAGTAAAAGGAATTAGAACTGTCAGCAATTTACATAACAGATAATGCTGTCATGCAATTCGCGCAAAACATTATAGATCGCGCAATCAGTTTATCAACTCTGAACTTTTACCTTATTTTTCTCACTTAGAAAAACTTTTTTCGCATTTTTTTACTACTTTTGTATTTTTTTGCCGCTTGTCAATGAGATATATTGCGTTTCCAAGAGTTGTCTTTTACAAACATTAATTAATTAATTAATTGCAAAGCTCAATTTCCTTATCATATAAGACAAACTTAAAAAGGTCAGAGAAAAAGAAATATTAGCGAGGTTGCTAGTCTCGCTAATATTTCTTTTTACTTTCATCTTTTAATCGATTGATATCGGTAATTCTTTTCTCTTCTCTTTTTCCATATTATGCAATTTATTTTTGATAATATATCATCTCAAGCATAGAGGAATAACCAGTCTTATTGATGACAAGAAATGAATTATCAATCAAAAATGAAAATAAAATCAGTATGAATAATACGCCGAATTATTCCTGATTTGTGACAGCAATTTTTAGATGCTAAGAGTCAACATAAACTTGAAGTGTGTCGTTTAATCATTAGCCTTCAAAATCATCTAAAAACTAATTTATTCCAGCAATTGGTATGATAACACAATTTTGAAAAGACACGAAATTAAAAAATGGGGAACACTATGCAAGTGAAGTGCATCCTGTTCAAAAATATTTACAAATAGATCAAAAATAGTCGAGAAATTATTCGAAAATTAATTAATTATAAAATTTTCCAGATTACTTTATGTTGCTTATTTTGAAATTTCAATGTTTTGCATCATCTTTATTCTAAATTGTTGTTTGATAGGATCACTTTCAAATTTATGTCCAATATTTTCATTTCTTTCTCGCTTTGGTTTAGAAAATTCTTTGACGTTTTTGCAAATACTGAATAAATAAATAACAAACTGTAAAATAAGTAAACCGAAACTAAAACACTGCGATTTAAAAATCACAAATAATAATAAGACAAAACTTTTTAAAAAAGAAAGATATTTTTACTCGTGGAAGAAAAAAATATCAATTAAAAATGATTGATGTTATAGTAGTGAATTTTTTGAATTGATTTTATAATATTTTCATTTAGTTTTGAAAAAATACATAGAGAAGCTGAAGTTAAAAAGATCAACAATACAAATTGACCTAAAGTAAAGAGAAAAAACGTGTCTGAAAACTGTTGAAAACGATTAAAATGTCCTAACTAAAATGTTGACAATAACTGTCATTAAATTAACGCTTTCATAAGGTAAGCGTTTATTTTAAAAAAAAGCATTTCGAACAATTAGTAAATAAAAAAGTAAAAAATTTTAATATTTAAATTAAAAATGATCAAATTAATAGCATTTTCCTAATCCGATAAATTATTCAGCAAATACTTTTAAAAAAGTCCATTCCAATAATAATATTACAATCGATGCGTCATCACAGTACTCGAAAATTCTGATTCTATATTTCGATGACATTTAGAGAGTGATAGTGTCACATTACTCCTGAAATTTGTTAAAAGTAACGTTATAATTAATTATATACTGTTTTATTTCATATATTCAAATTTTTGAAAATTTCAAAATTAAAATTAAAAAAAATTGAAATTGAAATTTCATGTTGAAAAACAAACGTTTTTTCTAGAAAGCATTTTTTTGAATCAAAATAACATCGATTAGGATAGATGATTCCATATTGATCACACACAGGTAACCAATCATTATTGCAATAAGTATCCATCGAGCAACATTCACCAGAAATTTATCAAAAAAGTTTCTTTTTTTGCAAAGAGGAGTATGCATAAAATATAATATGTGCTTAAGTCATATGTTACGTGAAGAATATTGCAGGAATAATAGACAGACGTTTATTATAATTTTGCGTGTTGTAAGCAACTTAAAAATTCTTCATTACACTACTAACAAGGCCTTTGTATCTAAATGCACAACCTACCATAATAAGCTATTTTAATTAATTTCTGCTGCGTTCGATTCATTATGCATTGTCTATGCCGAAAAATACACAAATTAGGATGAGTTGTACCATCAGTATCACAAATAGGCCCACTATCAGTGCAATTATCAGCAGATGATACCGCACAACATTCTCCCATATATGCCATTTGAAGTGTGCGATTGTTGCGACGATGTGATTCACACTGTGCCAATCTGTAAGTTCGTTTCACATTTCATAAAATTTATGGTAACAAGAAAAGTTTATTGAGAAAATCATTCAAATAATTTAATTTGCAATTAAATGCAATCAATACCATGCTAATTCCGAAATTTTCAAAATTTCAATTAAGTAATGTAAATTGCGTCCGGAGATTAAAAAGTTTGCAAAGTTCAAAAGATATCATCCGAACATTGCAGACATACTCATTGGACTTTGAATGGTGGTAATATTTGCAATAATTTGCTAATTTGACAATCGAAGTCAAATGATAGAATAAGTTGACGTTATACCTAAACTTGCACCAACTATGATGAGTTGTTTGTGTGTCATCACAAAGTGTCATTCCGGATTGTTCATGTTGACAGTTATCCACACAACATTCACCCCAATATCGAATTGTTAGATTTGTCCGGAAACGTTTCCGTGAAAGGCACGCCATTCGTTCATATTCGCAAATATTATTATGTGTGTAACCCTCGCTATCACAAACTGGTGATAAATTATCGCTATCATTGCATTTTCTAGTCATTTCCTCACAGCATTCTCCTAAAAAATGAAGGTTAAATTTTTTGAAATTTACATCGGCTCATGAAATGTCAAAATTGTACTGCCAGCAGCATTATTGATAATTTCAATGCTTTATATGAATGGGATATTGTAGCAGTGAATATTAAAATGTTGGGCCTTTCAACATCTGCGATTACCGATGAAAGTTGCCAATGGGAACACATCAAACAAAATGTTCCACATATTTATTCTTGTTTTTGTACTCTCCGAAAGTGGTTGATATTTTTTGAATGAAATTATTTGACCTCTGTAGTCAAGTTCTAATTTCGCTTCTTCGCTTCTCATCGAATCCCATCGATTGCGTTCTTTGTTAAGCCCACAAATTGCACCGTTTAATTCACATTCGTTTTGATATGTTATGCCTATTAAATAATTATCACTGGTATATAATTAATATATTTCTGTCATAAAACAATCAGTTTGTCATTTTTTATCATCGAAATGGAAAATCAGTATTTCCTACCTTTCAAACGTATTAAAACTATAAAAATTAATGCCTTTCATTAAGTATTGTTATCCAGTTCAATGAATTAAAATTATTTCTAATATATAACTTGACTGCAAGAATTTCAAATAACCATTTGAAGCGCAAACAGGTTGGTAATCATTTCGCTTGCATTGCATCCTGCACGCATCATCGGGACATGCTGTATAGCGGACGATGCTTAATGATTGACCATCACGTCGCACAGCAGTGCAGTTTTGTATGCTGAACATACATAAATTCTGCAAATATTAATTGAAATAAAGTACAAATCACAATTTCAGTTGAAAAGAGAATGAGCTATTGTTCTAAATTTCAAATTAATTACATGATTAACTTACTAAATGGGTAATATTTTGATTATCGCATACAGGAGCCCAATGTTGTTCGCACCGATTCGTACAACATTCGCCGTTATATGCCATCAACAATGTTCTGAAAACAGTTTCACAGCAATGTGAGAAGAATACATGCTGTTGAATATCGACTGATTAATTAATTAACAGACGTTACGTCTCATTACTTTGCGATAATTTATTCTTGCGTTGAGAAGAAGACGTTGCAAATTTTACATCATCTTATTGGGTGTAAAGTCGTCAAATTTATTCTTCGAGCAATCAAAATTCCTCCCTATTTAAATTTTACTTTTTCAATTTTTTTTAGTGAAATGACGAAGAGGAATAAACAAACTTGTTAAGACATCGTGCTCTAATCAAACGACATCGATTGACATACGTAATTCCATCCGTTCCACAAATAGGTTCATAATTTGTGTCACACTCAATGCCATCATTACATTTCATTGTTTCATTTACATCTACAACTTTTTCATGCTAATTTAATAGTTTGATAAGGATTAGCAATTGTTAAATCTAGAATTTTTTTTAAAGATATAAAATACCATGCACCATATAATTCTTCATTGAAACGATAAATGGTTGATATGATAATTTTAATTATAATAACCTTCAAGTAACTTTTTGTCGTTTGGGATGAATGTCGCAGAACAGCCACCATCCTCATTCAGCAAAGTTATGCTGCGATGTGTAATTTTCTCTTCTCGACATTTATGCACCTCCAAGAAGACACTCATATTGAAATAGGTCAAATATGTTAAATTTTTTTAACATATGTGAAAACTAATTAATTAGAATTTGCTACTCAAAAAGTTAATAATCACTTAAAAGGCTAATAACAACAGCAACATTATAATATAACAACAGCAACATTATAATACCATAGATCAAATTCATAATTTCATTTATAAATTTATTTCAGCATCATCCAAATTTCTTTTCTCTGAGAAAATTTTATTTTAACACATTGAGCAAATTAATAAACTGCATGTGACCTCGAAGTGACAGCGACTTGAGTGAGTGATGTTGCGCGAATCGCAAACTGCCTTCTGTAACTTCAACTGTCCCTTCTCGTCAAAAGGTTGCTCGCATGTATCTTCGGTTGGACAGCAACGTCCCATCTGTAAAATTCATATGCATTTTTCTTTCAACTATATTATTTAACCAATTTAATTTGCCTTCGGTAATCAATTTAACAACTGATTCATAATTTCGTTCATATACAGTTTTGAAGTGTATAAAATAAGTTTATCAGTACTATGAAATCAGTGTTTGGAAAATTACTTTTCATGAGAAACTGATTAATTAGAATTTGTTACTCAAAAAGTTAACAATCACTTAAAGAGCTAATAACCGCTTGGAATTTGTTATTTAAAAAATATCTCGACAGGTTGATGACTATTTAAAATTTATTGTTCGAAAAATCAATCATTACTTGGAATGTTATTGACTACTCGAAATTTTGATGCTCAATATTCGAATAATTATTATGTATATCGATCAACGTATCGTTATAAATTTACTAATTATAATAATCGTATTCCTTCCTTCATTCCTCACCTTATTGCAAAAGTTTGTTTTAAATTTAACATCTCAACTTTTTAACTGCTTACTTGTTAACTTTTCACTTCGATTACATCTTCAATTGCTTCACCCAATAATTGTTGACAAAAAATAAATTATTCCAAAGTGAATTATGCATAATTTACCACACTTCTGACATTTTCTTTTTTTGCCTCACAAATTTGTTACTCAATTATATATTTTTCAAAAAAGGAAGGACAAAGAATTAACATATGCGGCGGTAATATTGTAGCCAAACTTTCGTTCATAAATGCATCGCAACATTTCGAATTCACATTTTTTCTTCGTACGTCCAGCTTGATCGCACACAAAATTAGAATCCGATTCCGTCTCTCCCACTGTCTCATTGCAGTTTGAAGCCATACAGTCTCGACATTCACCTATACGTTTCACGAATCTTTTTGTTCATTTGAGGAGAAAATGAAAAAATGAATAAAGCAAAAAAAGTACAGGAAAAAAGGCATTAGAACACCAGGAGCATTAGTTAATCATTAGAACTATTAATATTAATAAAAGAAATTCATATTTATTTTTTCATACGATTATTTTTTAGCACTTTATCCTATAAAATATTCGGATAGCGTAAATTATTTACTTGTTATATTTTTAGCAAACTAACCATAATAAAGCTGCCCTAAATTTTTATCTCGACATTTTGCATTTAAAAATAGACATCTATTCGGATAAGTCACAAAAGTTGTCGCACATATCGGTTGATATGCAAGATTTTCCGCACATTGGCGATAACAGCGACGTGATGCTAAAGAAAAAATTAACGTGAAACTTCTTCGTAAACAATGAGGAAAAAAGATTACATATTTAGAAATGGAATTTCGTTACATCAGAGAATTCGTGTAACTTATCATTTATATTTCCTTTATTTTTCTACTTTTCAGTGCAGTAGTTAAGATGTCAGTATAACTGTTAAATACCTCGTTGAGAGTGACTTTTTGAATTTTGACCTTTCTTGACTTCTTTTTTTTCACTATTGGTAGAACACCATTTTTCATCAGCCAAAGAGAGCCGTTGTCCACTTTGCATAGCGATGCACTGTGCCCGTAAAAAAGCACACTGATTTCTAAAAATAGTGCAAAATGAAATTAGCAATCACTTTAGCATAAGAGAAATTTGTCACTGAACTAATAAAAAATACTAACCGATGCCAATGGCCATTGCTGTCGCATACAGCCTGTCTCGTCCCATTACAACTTCCAAGCTTTGCACATGCAATTTGCTTCTTGAAGCAAAATTTATTTAATGAAATTAATTGCTTGATTTATTTTACAATCATTATAATTGAAACATAGATATTATCAATTCATTTACAATTATACCACCATGAAAACTTTTTCATTAATTCCGAACGTTCATGAATAATTAAATAAAAAAGGAATTTTGCATATTTAAAATAGAACTTCTGGCTATGATTAATCATACATCGATTATAGGCCTTTCACTTTGTTCGTCAACGGATATAGTGATCGATGATTGATTGCATGCCGTCAAAGCGTACAAAAAAGAAGCATTAGCTTCATCCTTAAAAATTTTTAAATCACTTATGCTCTCAAATATTTTGCTCTACACTAATTAATTGCTATTGATTTTTCTAATGTTGATGATGATTACCGAAACAACAATTATAATGGATGGATTTATAATGACAAATTATTTTAATGGGCCGCATGATGCCAGTTAGTAATAAACAAAAAGTTTAAATTGAAATTAGTCTTTTCAGTAAATTACATTAATGATTAATCAGATATAATATAACTAAATTTTCTGATTGCATCTAATATTTTATAAAAATTTATGAAATATAAAATGAATATAACACTCCAATACTTACATTTTTAGGCCATTTATTTTTTATTAACTTACATTTTTCCTTTCTAAGCAGTTGTACTTTTGAAAAGTGCAGAAGTTTCGATATGTCTTTTGTTTAGTGTCGCATACGGGCCTATATTTTTGCGAACATTTTACAGGACAAACCTAAAATGTGTGAAGTAATTTCAGCGGAATATTGTAAAACCAATTTGCTCCTACATACATTGAATAGAAATTCAAGTTTATATATTCAAATATATTCAAGCCAAAAATTATAATGCTGAGAAGATCTTGGATGTATCACATCAAGAGCTCAGCAACATTTCACTAATTAATACATAACAATTTTAGCTGTGAGCGAATCAAATCATCAACAACGATCAACCATTTTATAGATGAAACTTTTAATAATGATATTTATTGTGCATTACAGATGTGACCTCTGACTATGATCTATCAAAACTGATTTAAAATGGAGGTATTTCATTTATTGCACCCCTGTAAAAGATAGAATCGATGATCAGTTAGTGGAATGATCGAAGAGGAAAGGATCATCTTATTCTCGAATGCTAATAAAGCATAAATCGTAGCAATTTTTCTATTTTATTATTAGCAAAATTTTTTCGTCTCTTTTTTATCTAAATAATTATTATTTAAAAAAAAAGAAAATATGGAAAAGATTGTTACTATTAGATAATCGATTACAAAAAAACGATAAATTTGATGTAAACAAATCAAAAACTTGAATTAAAAAAATTTTCAATTGCATAAGATTTCAATCTATGAGAATTTGTTAAAAAATGAAAAATTTCTTGATTTTTTAAAATGACATGATGAAAAAAAGTCTTACTTCCTCTTCAAAGGTGAAGACAGGTGAGTTTATATTGCATGGCCCGACGTGTACCAAAATTCTAGAATGACTATCATGCAAACTCATTCGTTTGCAATTAAATAAAGCAAGCGAACAAGGACTGCGATGAGTTTGATTCATATTATCGCACACAGGTATCATCGATTTCGGTCCATTCTTGCAAATTCCCATCACTTGTTTACACGTTTTTGATATGGTTCGGTTTGCATCAATTACGTTTCGTTTACTGTTTCTGGCTGCCAGCTGGTATAAAATTTTATGTTTTAACAAAAAATCGCTGTTCGAATTAAAAAATGTGCTAATTTCTACACCTGCAAAGTTGAAATTTTGCCAAAGTATTAATTATAAATATTCACATACTTTTTTTATTGTCTGCAGAACGACATTACCATTTGCAAATGGTTGCAATAATAAGGCGGTTGAATTACGCTGTATTTTACTTTTAATGTTAGCGGCAGTAGAAGAAGAAGGAAAAGGAGGAAAAATATTTGTAATATTAGGTTGTTGAAATTCAGAAAAGACATCGTTATCGTTGACATCAATGAAATCAAAAATTTCATCAACTGAATTAGAAGAAATTAATGGGACAAGTATTACAAGTAATATTACAATAATTGTTGGAATAATATTCCATTCTGACAACATTTATCACTTCCTGCAAAAAAAATCATGAAATTTGATACTATGAAAGAAGTTTAGAATTCCACAGTTTTATGTTGAAAATCAATCATCAAATTGCCGTATGCTCAGCTCAAACATCTAATTGTTAATTGGAAATGAAAAACAATGGCAAAAATCTGACCAATTAAGGAAATAAATAACGTTGTATTTTTGAATAATCTCAAATTCTATGATGAAAAGATGGGAATGAATGCATTGAGCGAAATGAGAGCATTAATTAAGATAATTCATTTTAACAACATTAGTGAGACTCAGTTTTAAAAAAGAAATTTATTAGTTTTTTTGCCCGTAATAATTGTGTATCTCAAAAATTACATTGGTAACATTTAACTTTGTCAAATCTTTTGAATTCTATTAAAATAAAAGAATGCATCGCGAAACAAAATGAAACAGCCAAAAGTGTTGGTGTGTAGCATTAGCTTGATTGAAACATCACAGGAAAGCGGAGACCTAGCACGTACGTATGTTTTGTTATGAACAGTTGCTTACAGTTATTCATTTAGCAGCAACGGAACTAATTTGAATATTTAGACTCATTGATGCGAGCTTAACTTTTCGTTTCACTAAATACTTATTTTAAATGTTAATTATTTAATACAGCCATTTAACTTGCAACAAATGCAAAATATCCTGCAAATACTTTTTGCCAATTCTTTCAAACCTGAATGAGTGAGAAAGAAGAAAATAAGACGAGTTCGGAAGGTTTTAATAAAGGATATTTAATAAAGCACAAAAATAATGACGACATTAAGGCGACAATAATTGATTTAAGCAGACAGCACAGTACAGAAGGAAGAAATAGAAATGACACGTCAGATAATGGACATTGGATAAATCGGTCAGCTTAAACGATATGTGATCATTCCAGCGACTGAAGAGGGATTAGATCCAATGACAAGAAACGGTGTGGCGGAGAAGTGACAAGCAATTCTTCCAAGAAAACGATCTCTTTGAAGATAATATCATATAAATCGGCATCAGCGGAGAAAACAAAAAGAATTACAAATTAATGACAAATAATTGTACAATTTTTGCTTAATTCAGATTTCATATTCAATTTTTATCGAAACATTTAAAAATTCCTGATTTTCATGCATTTAAAGAATTTTTTCATTCCAATATTTACCGTATTTTTTACTTCCCTATTTCCAACCTAAACTCTTATCAAGCACTTATTAACGAAAAAAGAAAGACTTAAAAATAGAATTGAATAAATGAATGGACTAATCTGAAAATTTAATTGCTGTCATTGCAAAATTTCGCGGTATGCCCGATGAATATAACAACAATTGGGTCGTATTTTATTTCATCCCACAACATATTACTTGTTTTATTACCGTAATTAACTATGCAAATAATAATAACAATAATAATATCATTGCATCGGTCGTATGAAACTGAAAATTGTTACAAGAAAATTGTTTAATTTTGAATTACTTCTTTTTTCTTTATATATATACATTGAATGCTTCTGCTCCACCCAACTTGAATTTTTTTAATTTCAAGAAAAATTGGGATATTGTAGTGATATCCCCGCTTGTACACTACAAATAACAAATTGTAACTGCAAGTCATTGCAAATTCGCAAATTGTTTTGTTGTTAAATCATTTAATGAAATTAAACTTTATCAGTGCTTAAACATTTTGCCACAATAAAAACGCTGAAGAAGTTTTTCATCCAACCTTCTGTTTAGACATTTTTATAAATTCTATCGCGCAGAATCACATGGTTTGCTTATAATAATTAATAATGATAATAATGATAATAGTAATAATGATGATGATGATGATGATGATGATAATAATAATAAT